AGGTTCTTTTACCAATGAAGTTTATCATAAAAGTTAGAGGTTAATCAATAGTTAAGGTTACAAGAATAGTTTGCGTAACTTTGAATCATATTTTTAGATTACAATGCTTTTAGTGATTGATTAGTCCTTGGAATCGGATTTGTTATGTCAATAAATGTCTGCAGCAATCAGGTAAAAAACTTCCACGGTTACAAAAAATCAAATGTTTCTCCATGTTTTATCTCAATTTCAGTATATCAGTTCAGTATATCAAGGTTTATATACTCCCACAACAATATAAGAGAGAAATTCGTAATCTTCCTCAGCGTTGTCGCAATGTACGTAGTTCGGTTGCTCTATTGAAAGAAACAGAACAGAAAGAAACGCTCGTAGCATACGACACGCAAACACAATAAACTAATGCCGAGCTGGTACGTGCTACACGTGAAACGAGGAAAAACTCTACTAAGTCAGTAGACAAGTCGGCTAGTAGTGTATAGTGGATTATGAAGATGGACTGCAGCGAATCAGAATCACCATTCGCGTTTAATGGTTCGACAAAGACAACGAACGACGGAACAGATAGAAATGAATTCGCATTTAAAATACATTAAACGCGGGCCGAAAGTCGTCCAAATTTAAGTTATGGCATGGAAGTTCCTCAGCTGACCTAGTTTTCTAGCAAAAATCGATGGGAAATTGTAATAGTAGGCGCTTGTGTCAAAAGTGTAAAAAATAACAACAAAACTTCAAAATTAAAATCCAGGTGTCTAATTGTAGTTATTGATGTGAGTCGAGATAGAGTTTTGCATGACGTCATCATTTCCAATGATTTTCCGGTGTAAATCAGCCAATAGCCCTATGTTGTCACTGTTGCGATCATTGCATTTGAGATAACAAAATCAGTAAGCTTTTAAAAAAAAAATCAATTGCCAAGCAATAGCTTGTTATTGAATTCCATGTTTGTTTTCATAAGGTACCAGTCGTAGTACTTTGTTTGGTGTTTTGTTGTCTGTAGTACCCTAGCTTGTAACAAAAAATTGTAATAGTAGGCGCTTGTGCCAAAAGTTCAAAATTAAAATCACAGTTCTCTAATTGTAGTTATTGATGTGAGTCGAGATAGAGTTTAGCATGACGTCATCATGTCCAATGATCTCCGGTGTAAATTGACCAATACCCTGATGGTGTCACTGTTGTGTCATTGCATTTGAGATTAAAATTATCAGTAAGCTTTAAATGCATTTTGTCAATTGTCAAGTAATAGTTTGTTATTGGATTCCATGTTTATTCAAAATGTACCAGTCGTCGTGCTTTGTTTTGTGTAGTCTGTAGTTCCCTAGCTTTCATTACTACTACACATTTAACAAATATGCCAATTAATTGTGATACAAAGAAAAAAAGTTTAATAATTTCTTTAAAAATCTCGCTATTATCTACTTTATGGTTATTAATACGTATTCACTTCCACGATATAAGTTAGCATTGGGTGGTTACTATACCAATTGATATTGGGTGAAAATTGGACAAGAACTATGATGTTGTCACTAATATGATTTTTTATATTTGAGACGAAGATTCTCAGTGGGCTTTCAAGCATTTGTTAATTGTCAAGTAATATATCTTTTATTGGATTCCGTGATTCTTGCAAAAAGTACCTGTCGCAATGCTTTATTTTGTAGTAGTGTAGTGTAAAAACATAAACAGAAAACGTGGAAAACAAATGCACTATAATTTGATGATGTATTTTTATAAATTATATACTATACTTTTGTAGATGGTGTATGATTATGAGGCTTAAGATAATATGTTTTGCACTACATTACTATACATTTATATAATATGCCAACTAATTGTGATAAAAATAAAAAAGTTTGATATTTTCTAAAAAAATGCAATTTTTTACTTATGGTTATTAATGATTGTATACTTCCATGACGTATGTTGTCAATGTTGTGATTCTTGTACAAATTTAAGCCATAATTTTTAGATTGTGTGCTATATTTTTAAAATATATAGAACTTTTGTAGTTGTATAAAATAGTTGGTACATGATTATTCTACATAAGATTTTGCGTTCTACACTACATTACTATATATATAAATAATATGCCGATTAATTGTAATAGAAAAGAAGATTAATAAATTTTCTAAGAAATTGTAATTATCTACTTATGGTTATTTATGCATGTTGCACTTCCAGGGCTTGGGTGTTTACCATACTAAACTATCCCCAGTGAAATTTGACCAGGAGTTTTGATGTTGTCACTGTTATATTTATTGTAATTGAGATAAAAATTTTGCAGTGAGCTTTTAAGTGCATTTTTAATTGCCTAGTAAAATTCTTGTTATTGGTTTCCGTGATTTTTTTCATAGTGCTTGTTTTGTGTAGTCTGTAGGTTTTGCAAGTTGTATAATTCAAGCCATAATGGCTAACGATGTTAGATGGATTTTTTTAGTATAACATATACATTATGTAACTCATAATTTGTTGTGAAGTATGTAGTTTTTGTTTATTTATTTCATTTTCAATCTTTGTTTTGCAAGTTTCTATTTAGACACACAAATAGATAGTTTATATGCTGTGCAAGAAACGTAAATCAAGCAGAACAAGACTGATAAAAATTTCTTCTTACATCTGTATGTTCAATCCTTAAGCAGAAAACACCGCATCCTCGTAGGAATTGTATATTCACGTAATCAAATTTTCTGAGCGAACGAGAATTGTTGTAGCGTTGTTGCAATTGTATTCGCACAGCTCTGGGGATAATGCAGCTCACATATCGACCTGAATTATAGTAAATACTATCTTTATTACCAACAAGCAATTTTTCTGCTTTTCCGGGCATCACTTCGAAAAATCGTGCTGGCATAGAAAAACGCGGGCATTGTAATTGACTTCCGTTTGTCTGCCAATTTATAACGGTCGCCTTGTCATTTCCGCTTGTTTTATTCAGACTCTCGTATATTGCTCGTTTCTTTTTATATATATATCGTATTTTGTTATTTTCTCGATTTGTTGGACGGTTCTACGTTCCTTACATCGCCGTCGTCGTTCTATAGATGTATGTGGTTGCGTCGAGGTGTCTGCTATTGAAACATCCACACAGCGTCCGATGCTTTGAACGTTTTATTTCATCGTTATGTCTTATTTGCACCATGACTTGTTAAACAGAAAATACTACGTGATCTAGTCGCATCGGTACGAAATTTATTCCTTTAAGTTCCAGGTAAAGACACTTCCGTCGGGATAAATTCTTTCAAAATATTGTGTTTCAAAGGAATCGATTCTGTGGCGAAATATAGACTCGTTAAACAAATATCAACAACGCTAACGTATATGTTACGCTTTTCAACTCACTTTACTGAATAAACGACACAATTATAAAGATAAAGTTTTACATTATTAATTTTTGGACATTACAAAATAAGTCATAAGCTAACACTTACAAGGAGAACTTCAGGTTAACTCTTAAGGGATTTTGATGAAACTTTGCATGCTCATAGAGTTTATAGTCAAATTGAACACCTTAAAGTATTATAGGCCTACGAGAAGTGGTTTAATTATAAAAAGTAATTTAAGTTGCAAAAAATAGACTGCGCGCAATACGAACATGTATAAGTAGTGTTAAAGCGCTTGCTCCTACTTTTTGCATTCGCATTTATAGATAAAAGAGTTGAAAATGATCCTATTCAAATTAGACAGCTTATATATTTGTTTTAATTATTTTTATATTTGAATAATTCAATATTGCAAAAATATTTATAATTATTTATTCATTTCATATATTTTGCGAACAAAAATTGATATATTTGAAACAAATCTTGACATCCGGCAAGCCCGAGATAGGTATCGATGCTAGAACCTCTGACTGATTGAAATCCCATATCTCTAATCTGGTTAATAATAATAATCTGGTCACTGAGCCTGGTTAATAATTCACGTATGCACATCTTTTTCTAATGTCCATCACAACTCCTAAATCCGTCTTATCCATTACATTCGTTTCATATGCGAATGTGCTCCCTTTTGAATATTAATTCGATTCGGCATTCATAAAGTATTTGTTCGACCAATGACGCATGTGACCGCAAAATGTTGCGCATTTATTTTGTATATAATCCTAGTTTAGTCTAAAACATGCGTTCGAAGTAGCAATGACTAATTATTTTGATATTCATATCGAAATTGGTACTGATTCATTGTTGATTAGAATTTGAATAAAGATAGTGAGAATGGAAAATGTTCAACAAAATTGACCCTTTTGCTACGACCTGACTTTCTGAGTGTACGGATGTCGTCTAAACTGTTGAAAATTCTAAATTTTTATTGTAATTTCACATTTCTAAATTGATCGATAATTATTGAAAAATCTTGAAATATGTTGTTAAGCCAGGTGCGTTCAGTAGAGCTTCTGGGCAACTCGCTGTTCCGTACAGCAGCGTTACCTCTGTGGAAAACACTCTTATAACGAAAGTGTTATTTTACAGTTATTCTTTTCACAGCCTATGTTATAAATGTAACTAATGACTTTAAAATTAGTTTTGCAAAGCATTGAATACATATTTTTGTGTCAAAAGAGGGAACTTTGTATTTTTTTTAATCAGTTAATTGAATTAGTTGCAATATCCATATGAAAAAGTTCCATGATACAAAAATACGCACGATTGGATTATTGCTATCAATGGTATGAATCAATAAACTGTATGAATAAGGTTTTTTGTTCCATTCAGTTTTGATATCGATATCAAAATATCATGACCATCCCTAGTCCGAATGGCGTGGAGTTTGTTTGGCAAAAAGACCTGGACGCTTTATACATACATCGGTTTTTGTAAACATGGGCCAGGATTAAGAGTTTAGTCCCTTTTCGACCCTTGTGTTTGTCCCGACGAAATGGGGCATAATTAAGCAACGGAAAATTTCATACGATACGTAATGAGGGAAATATATTTAGGACCGTGTTCTATATTTGGACTTTGGAAAATATTAATATTATTAGCAGAGGACGATAATTCGAAAATGAAAGGTTACACTTAAGCCCTTTCAAGTATTTATTTGACGGGAATTTTAGGCAGAACGAAGTGGATACATTTTTTTTTGTGGGCTTGCCCGTGGGTAAGTGGTGAGAGCTATGGGATTTGAAGTAGAGGACCCAGGATTTATACTTGCCTAGAGATTTGTAATGAATTCTATATACAATAACGATGTGTTACACGCTGATTATAGTATGTTGTTAATCTAATATCATGTATTTCGATCTGATCATTACTAGCTAATTATTAATTACAAATGAATAGCTAATGATCCAGACTCAAAATTCGCAGCAGAAACAGAAATCTGGCATTCCCATCTATTAGTTAACGATATTAGCCGCGGTAAAACATCAAATTAAGCTCTATGTACATTTTAACAATACATGCCCGAGGCCGCTCGACCATGTTCAAATATTTACACGCTTTGTATGTACTATACTGACTGCACCAGGTTTTACGAGATGCAAGTCCAAAATGCTTTTGTTTCATATGACCGTGTTTACCTGCATGCTTCTAGTGAACACTTTCTATTTAACTAAATCGGAACACTTAAGATCTGTATGTTGAACACATATTAATAACGGTCTCATGATGATTTATTTGGGGAACAGGATAAACAGCCAATATTTCAAAAACGAGTAGAGTTGGGAATTTTTAAAAAACAATATTTGAAGGTAGAGGGAAAAAGATGTATAACCGTATGATACTTGATTATTAAGACGTCACTATCAGAATTTTATTGGCAATGTCTAAAAATCCCTAACGAAAGTATTTCCTTTCGTTGTTGGTTGTGAGCACTGTTGTTTAGTTTACGAGACCTTAATATAGTTTCAAAACATATGTTATTGAATTTCTTTATAAGATGTATTGTTAATTTTAAGTTAGTTTCAACTTTATATAACTCATATAAAAGATTAAATGTGGCTGGGGTAAAAAGGACTAAGTGAACCCTGGTTAAAGTGAATAAAAATGTAAGGGGTTGATTTGCCGTAAAATAGACCAATGTTATGACAAGACTTGGTTATGTAACAGTTTTTATACCAAATCGTACTAAATTCTGTCAAAAGCCATGTGGTTGCTATGCAGTCAGACGTTTTAGATAGAAAACCTAACCTAGAAAACGCACAAATGTCAAAAAAACGATGTTTTGATATCTGGATCTTTCTGATATGGTTTAATATCATATGAGCAAATGCTCGATATTTTGACAGTATTCAGTACCAATAACCGTAAGCCGTAACATTTGTCTAATTTACGACAAAATCGGCTCATAAATTAGGTAAAAAAACAATTTTACAAGAAATGAACTAAATTTATAGTTATTTCAATTTTGTCAATATTTGAAGAAATACCAGATCAAGGTTATATACAGTGTTATCTTTGTCAAAAATGAGCACATGACACTTATACTTTGTGTTGGTTGATTATGTTAGCTATTTCCTCGTAAAATCCGTTTATGATTAAAATTAAAACATTGGATCTGTTTGCCCCCTGGCTGTCCCATTTCACCCCGCCCATGGAATAAAAAGGGACAGATGACAAATTTTAGGAAAATAATAAAATAACATATTTATTAAATTAACACGATGTTTTGATATCTGGATCTTTCTGATATGGTTTAATATCATATGAGCAAATGCTCGATATTTTGACAGTATTCAGTACCATTAACCGTAAGCCGTAACATTTGTCTAATTTACGACAAAATCGGCTCATAAATTAGGTAAAAAAACAATTTTACAAGAAATGAACTAAATTTATAGTTATTTCAATTTTGTCAATATTTGAAGAAATACCAGATCAAGGTTATATACAGTGTTATCTTTGTCAAAAATGAGCACATGACACTTATATTTTGTGTTGGTTGATTATGTTAGCTATTTCCTCGTAAAATCCGTTTATGATTAAAAATAAGACATTGGATCTGTTTGCCCCCTGGCTGTCCCATTTCACCCCGCCCATGGAATAAAAAGGGACAGATGACAAATTTTAGAAAAATAATAAAATAACATATTTCTATACTTTAACTGGGAGTTTTACCGACGGTGTCTCGTATTCTTGAAGCCATGAATAGAAAGGAACAGAGCGTAGCCGTAATTTTAGATGTAGGCCAGGCTTTTGATAAGGTTTGTCACTTTTTTGACTCCTATATAAAATCAAAACTACTTTTCCACACTACTTCAATATCTTAAGCTCATATTTGCTTAATTGAAAATTTAGAGTCAAAATTAAAGATGTGACTTCGAGCGTTAGAAATATAGAATGCGGAGTACCACAGGGCAGTGTGCTAAGCCCAGACTTTATCTCCTTTTTACGAGCGATATGCCCACAGATGATCTTCTAACCATATGCACTTACGCCGATGATATAGCTGTAATTTTATGCAATTCTTATATGCGCCATTTATATGTGGTCATTAGAAACTTGAACAATTTTCAATGAATTTTGATAAACTTTATTTTATTATCAAATTTAATGCCTTACAAATTTTTCCAACTAACAAAAAATATCGAAAAACAATATCGATCAAATGACCCCATAATAAATTGTTCAAGTTATTCATTATTTCCTTTGGTCACATATAAATAGTGCACCCTGTACAACAGTTGTTTGTTTAATGCGAATTATGTGTTTGCAATTTGGTCAAATTGGACCTTCGTGCTCCGCCCTACCCTATATTTGAATTTATATTATAAGGCAGACTGAAGTAAATAGATTAACTCATTTCTATTTGTGCCTATAAATAAATATTTTTTTCCTATTATTAACTATATTATCTCTTATTTCTGTTGTAACCTCAGCAGTCTATTTC